TTTTTCTGTGTGATATGACCGTCAAGTTCATTCCAATTTGCCAAAACGGTTGGACAGGGTTTATTCGTCCGGGCAATAGAAGTTCAAGATAATCATATCATATCGACCTTCATTAGGCGCTTCAGCTCAAAATCTACACAGTTCGATGCACTCAGTCCAGACTCCAGACAGTAGGCCTTTAGATATGTTTTCGATATTAGGATCAACGACATGACTAATCGATATGTTACGGCTAAAGATAGGAGTGAACATAAACTTAAGATTAGCCGGCTAAACTTAAGTTTATCTTCGACGAGGTGTAAATGTTAGTTTCTTCTATCTTTAGCCGGCTAAACTTAAGTGTAACCGCAGGCCCTTGGCTAAAAATATAGAAGGAAATGGAAAAGGAAACAACGTAATAATGTTTACTATTTATACACGAAAACTTTATTAAAAAATAATCGCTTTCATTACACATACTTTTGTACCTATGTAGTAGGTATTCAAAATTACAATTATTACAATAAAAAAATATCAATTATTTAAAACAATATCTACCTAATCATTAAAATAAAATAGTAAGGAACCATTTGGTCATTACAGAATCTTCTGTAGGTATTTAAATTTACAAAATAAAACTGCGCGCACGTTGTCTCCCCACCGCCCCCTCAAGCCCTCCGCCGGCCTGGCGCGCTCATCGAATACATTTTTAGCCATTTCGTTTTGGCTAATGTGCACATTAGCCGGCTAAAGATGGAATATCACGACGCAAACTAACATGTTATCGAACTTTAGCTGCTTCTCGAAGATAAACTTAAGTTTAGCCGGCTAATCTTAAGTTTATGTTCACAACTATCTTTAGCCGTAACATATATAAANCCATTTCGTTTTGGCTAATGTGCACATTAGCCGGCTAAAGATGGAATATCACGACGCAAACTAACATGTTATCGAACTTTAGCTGCTTCTCGAAGATAAACTTAAGTTTAGCCGGCTAATCTTAAGTTTATGTTCACAACTATCTTTAGCCGTAACAGATATATTCCAATAAAAGGTTCTCGATTTGTATAAGATACTAGCTAACTCGACACACGTTCTTACATTGAATGTTTTTTCCAGCCTCTTTCCAACCTTTACTCTTCATCATCCTCGGTCGTAAATTTTTTTTGACGAATTGATACAGCTTTTCTCAGATAATATGTACCAATTCTAACGTTTCTAACCTCATAAGTGACCTTTTCTTTAATCTGATACTAATGCAATATAAAGTGTAAAATTATTAAATAAGTCTGCTGTAACCTTTACGTATTTATAAACTCGACTGCATGTCCACGCGATGGCAGATGCGTCTATCACACGGTCAATAAGCTAGAGTTCTACCATAAAATTATGGGTACTAAGGTCAGTTGCATTCGTAATTAATCTTTATCGATTGGAGCCATAGCAGACTTGCGATTAGCGATTTGGCGTTTTTCATTTTACTGATTCGCTGCGTTGAATCGCAGTAGCGAATTTGTGAATTTTCGCGTTTCATTTCATGAATGCTGCATAGCATGTGTATTGTGGCGTTCTTCAGAAAGTTGTTTTCATGGATCTTCAACTGGCAACTAGTAAAGCCCAGACCACACTGTGAAACGCAATTGCCACGAAACTGCAACTTCTAGTTACTTTTGAGTTGCATCTATGTTTCTGCCATAGACCATTTCAAACCGGTTTCAAACTGGTAGCGTCATGTGTGGTCTCTCAACGGAATCTATGGCAGAAACTTAGATGCAACTCAAAAGTAACTAGAAGTTGCAGTTTCGTTGCAATTGCGTTTCACCGTGTGTTCTGGACCTTACCGGGCTGATTAATGTACCTCCTTGGTTTTTTCCACATGTTTATCTCTGCGTCTGAAGACGCAGAAGTGGAGGAACTACCTCTTCATTTCGCCATCCATAAGTGCTCAATCTTACCAATGGACGAAATTGAATAAATGCCGTTGGACATCTAGCTTCGGAAACGAGGCTAAAGCGACGTTGCTAAATGTAGCCCGACTGCTAAGACTTAGGCATGCCTGCAATGTCAAGGTCCAAGTTCGCTGCGAACATATCACTTGCCAGCTATTGATCCACATCACCCAACAGTGAGGGATGGCTAGAATAAACATCTAGGGCTAGCAGCCATCGCCATGGCGTATGGCGATGCATCGACTGTAATGTCTGTTTGAGTGAAAATTCAAAACCATTTCTTCCAAAAGGACTCAAGATTCTTGTAAAACTTTGATAAGAACTTTTAGCTGAAGTTGAAACTTTGACCAATGCTTGGATACAAGAGACTACTTAAGACTTACTAGACCACCGTAAAAAATAAAAATACATTTCAATTATAAAGTTTTTAATATGAACTTAATTTTCTTTAACATTTATTCTTGATATGAACTTGATATGAACTTAATTTTCTTTAACATTTATTCGAAGCAGCGCATTTAGCACTTATTGGTTGCTGGATATTTGATTATAAATGGAGGTTAGCAGTTTTACCCAGACTAACATTTCATGAATTTTCATAATTCTTTTTCTAAAGCGACACCTATTTTACGATCTAAAAGAGCTACAAACCTGGTGTTTTCATTAAAATATAGGCAAAAAATCAAGAACACGATTGCATTTTAAAAGAACTGTTTAACATTAATATCAAAAGAGATACGAATTTTTTTCGTAAAAAAACAACTTTGATCCTCATTTCCCACAAGTACGGTTTTGGCGCTTTAGTCTTTTTTCCTTTCCACTGACGATATGAACTTAATTTTCTTTAACATTTATTCGAAGCAGCGCATTTTCTCACTTCCTGCCTTAATTAGTACCAAAATAGTTTTTAAAGTGAAATAAGCGACTGCCGGCAACCCTGTAATGTGGACTCACCGGCAGCCTCGGTATCGCATCGTGGCAGTCTTCAGTTGGGCTTGCGCATAATCTATCGCCTGAACTACTACTACCTTACTTTTCCCTCACCTGATAACATCAGTCCGGGGTATGTGAGCGAAACAGTTTCTGAGTTTATTTTAGGAACAACCTTCAGGAAAGTGTGCTTTAGTAGTTTAGCTTTATGGTTTGGTTTTGTATCGTCTTCATCAGTTAACCATACGAATCATCTTAATTAACACATTTTGTATGCTTGTTATAAATAACCGTCTGCTATGATAGTGTTTTTAATAGAGCTGTTTAATTATCGTTCGTTCTGATAGCAGATAACGACCCTGGTGTCACTTTGAGTTCACTGATACTTACTCCTAGGTCATCTATCACTCGCGCATGGGTGTCTCTTTGTTTGAGGGCAAACGCACTTGCTTAATGGCACGTTGTCTAGCCTGGATCGTAACAGCACTCATCTAAATGGTTTTGCAAACACCAGCTCGTTGCCACTTCAGTCAACTAACACATGGGGTGATTAACTTGAGTTTATCCAGCAGTGTGTGTTGCATCATCTCATTGATTATGCCCCTATACTCCGACAAATGTTCTTATTACACTAATAGAAAATTACTCCGATTTTTTATGATATATCTCATAAATTGTGTAAATCAATCAAAACCATGCCATGAGCAAAAACAGACTTATGTTTATAGAACGATAAACATTTGGAGTAGCACAATTGCGTTGCTTCAGATATCCGTCAGTTAACATTTTTATTATAGCCTGACCAGGAACATAAAAACCCTGGCATAGTGGCGCGTCAAATGCATTTGATAGTGCAACACTGAGTACAGTCGTACCTGTGTTAAATTAATAGGCTAACTTTATGTATCAGGATTCAGGATTACGGGCTAATTTGATATTTTCATAAATTAACGAAAAAATATTATTATAGGTAACCTGATTTAAATAAATTAAATGAAACCATCAATCGAGCTAGTAGAATTTATTTTATTATTCATCAATAATCAAATTCAGAACTTGAATATTCAACTGCAATGTCTGCTCATGAACGCTTCAAACTCGGTACTTCTTTCCCAATCCCATAAAATTCAACACTTAGAAAGTGACAAAAAATTTTAAAATAGGTAGTTGAAACAAACCACAGCTAATTTTCATAGTGGACTGTACTATACGATAAACATGTCAGTCAATTTGACAACCTTTGTCGGAAACATTATTCAATGAAAATATTGTCCGAACCCTTAGTATTTCTCTTCGACAAATACTTTAACACATTGTGAACCACTTTTCTTTCACGACTATAAAAATATTTTAGCAATTTAATTCATAAAACCAATTGCGCACATTTTAAATAAACTTTGTTTACACTTTGACAGCAATAGACTGACATGCAAGGTGACATGTCAATGAAGTTTTCAGTTACTGTTGCCATTAAAAGAAATTAGTACCATTAGTTTTCCGCAACATGGCGAGGGTTTTTATGTTCCTGGTCAGGCTATAATTGACTTCATTCATTGTTCTGTTAAACTTTTCCAATGTATTTTATTTAATTTAAAGTATCGCGTATTGATAAGTCTATAATAAGAAACGGTACAGCTCTTGCTGAACGGGTGCATTCGCTTCTCGTTGCGCGAGCGTCGGTTACGCAAGTCATATTTTTTCGCGAACCGAACATTTTTGTGAGCACACGAATTTGCCAGGCAGATCAGGAATGTTAGGCATTCATTGGATATGCAGAGATATCTGGCAAATGGTATGTTAATGATGGACATCTGTAGTTGAACTGCCTTTCTGGAAATGTTTTTATTGTATACAGCACAGCAGACCGACTGTAATTTTTTTTTGGATTTCCAAGTCCCCAAGTGGAAACTTGGCTTTTGATTTAGTTTATATTGGTGACTCATAAGAGTTGCAGGGATGGGAAACATATGTGGGAGTAGTTACGTAAGCCTTGCTGAACTTAATCGTCCATTGAACCGTTCGAATCATCCAAGTCGTCACTTGTCTTGTGTACAGTGTAGAAGTCTCCTTCGTCTCTAGATGTGATTTCCAGTCACCCCATTCTGATCTTTATCATGCAGCTCATAAGTTCCATTGTTGCAGCCGCCCGACATGAACCGCGGGGCGCGCGCGGAGCCGACGCCGCCGGAGTGCGCGCTGGCGGCAGAAATGTTCGACCACCTGTGCTCCGCCGGCACCATGAAGCAGATCCTCGCGTTGTACCGCGAGATCTGCCACACGCTCACGCTGAAACCCAACCGGCTGCCCGACTTCTACCCCAAATTAAAGGTGAGTTATCGAAGCAGTTTTTATGATCGTCATTTGTCATCATTGAATTTGAAGCATTTCTGACACGATGCGGTCAACGGTCAGCGCCCCGATTGCGCTTCAAATTATCAACTGCAGCTGTTTGCACAAATCCGTATCGCGGTGTCGCTTTGACAGCTAGTTCAAATGAAGTTGTAATGTAAACGGAACGCAACTGCTTCTTTGTGTAAAAGCTGACAAAATGCTACTTAATCTCAAACTTTGCTGTGTTTTAGTGAAGAAATAAGATGTTCGGGACGGTCCGCGATACCAAATTGCACATCAACTGGAATGAAATCGGAGCCTAACTGGAGTGTAGACTAAAGACGAAACGCAAATGAATCGGAGATATTACAAATTAGCGAAAACGGGGCCCATGTCAAATGAACGCAGCCCGCACTTGTCAGTTTGTGTTCTTTGCACTGTCAGATCAGATCGCATAAATATAAAATGTATAGAGATTAACAATGTTGTTCAAACAAACATGGTCGCAGAACGCATCCCTGTTTTTTTTTTTACAGTAATTTATCACCAACGCAACTTCTGCTTTGTTTGATTGCGACATTGCGTTGTCTTATTAATTTGTTTATCTTCTCACTATATTTTAAAATTGAATTTCTATTTCAATATAAATAAAGTAGTTGTGCAATCAATTATAATCATCTTTCTTAGTCAGTTTGACAATTATTGAAGTTAGAATCATCCAATTAAATATTTCCGCCTACAACAATACAATTAAGCTGACTAAAGTCATCGATTTGATGATCGATTGTTCGACGTAACCGCGTAATAGCCGAGCCCTATTTTGGTCCACGTCGGAATCCAAACACAGTCGATCAGTGGTTATAGAAGTTTTTCCAATAATAATTACCCGAAATAAGCCGTCGATCAATAGGCAAGTGCTGAACTTTAAACGGCTTGAGCTTATGCACAGTCAGCGTCAAGTAGTTTGTGACACCAGAAGTAGCCAAAAAGTTGGCAACTCGTCTTTGTTACAATTGGAATAAGGTTGTGTGTGTTGTCAACTTTTCGGCCACTTTGGAAGCCACGAACTACACTCAACATCAAATAAATCGCACCTTCCGCGACGCTAACTTTAAAGATTTTCTTCTGACACAATCATGGTGCCCCAACAATATTGCCCAATAAATATCCTTACAGAAAAACACATTTAATTTCTTAATAAATTATAAATAAATAACATATACCATAAATGTGACTTGGAAAAGACCTCAATTGGGGCTCACCTCTGCATCTGGGATCAATTAGACCAATTTTTATGGATATAAAACCAAATAATGATCTCACGTGTCCTCTTTAACAGATGGATAGCGATTAATCCCAACTTAACAGTTTTATAGCCATAAAAGTCCTTTCCTTTAATGAAATGAAGTTTAGAACTAGGCTTTTAAATGGTGCCAATATTGGTGAGAAGTAGGGATGCATACGTTTGAAAATGGTTGTCGCGGGAGGTGCGATTTATTTGATGTCGAGTGTATTTTTACGCTGACTGTAATGAAAGAATGAAACATTAGGACGACCGCACCGCCTGTGTTTGTGTTGACACGCCCTCCCATTTCAATGGGGCCGTCATTAACTGGTGTACACCATCGTTCTACTTGAGTAAGCATTTGAGGCACCAAGCCGTTTGCCATCAATGAACGATGGCTTGCGTCAAATTACTGGATCGGGAAGGTCAATGCCAGACGCGTGTGCTGCGAGCAATAAATACTGGAGTAACGATTTTCGTCTATGGTTTTTACGAGCTTTTATTTAGGTTCACATGTTTCACGTGCTTTTGCCTTGGGTTATCGAGTTTGAAAGCGACCTACTTCTTGGAGTTTGAGTAGTAGTATAGTATTTTGTTTATTTATGTACTAGCTAACTAGCTTTTGCCCGCGACTTCACCCGCGTGAAATTTATTTTGCCACAGATCGTCATAAATCCCAACTAATATTATAAATGCGAAAGTAACTCTGTCTGTCTGTCTGTCTGTCTGTCTGTCTGTCTGTCTGTTACGCTTTCCCGCTTAAACCTCGCAACCGATTTTGATGAAATTTGGCATAGAGATAGTTTGAGTCCCGGGAAAGAACATAGGATAGTTTTTATCCCGGTTTTTGAAACAGGGACGCGCGCGATAAAGTTTTTCTGTGACAGACAAAAATTCCACGCGGGCGAAGCCGCGGGCGGAAAGCTAGTTATACCCTATATGTTATTCTGGGTTATAAACAATAATACTGTAAAGTTTAATCAAAATCCGTTCAGTAGTTTTTGCGTGAAAGAGTAACAAACATGTTGACATCCAGACATACTTTCGCGTTTATAATATTGGTAAGAAGTTAAAGTGGCTCACTGGGTCATATAAAGTTGTTCTGATGATGGAGCTGAATGAACACTAATACCGTATTTAAAAAAACCTCTCATTTGTTATTTGCGCATTCTTATTGCCAACTCACATAATTTTTTCCACCTCACATCTTTAAGATAGTGATTATGTAATTGGCAATATGACATGTGTTGTGTTGTGGATGTATGAGTGTTTGGATGACGGTGACCCACTGCGGGCGGCTTCCTTGCGGGTGGGCATGTGAGTCACCGCATGCGGTATCGCACCAGTTCACACCACCCACGACTCCTTTCTTGGAGACGCGTCACGTCACCGCAACAGGTGGGGAAATGGAATACACGAGAATGTACTCCGAACGGCTTTTTCCAATGATTGGACTCAGAGATTCTGAATTAGAATCCCAAGGAGCCCTCCTTGTAAATAACGTGTGTTTTCCCCAGTTTTGTTAAGACATAGTAACGACATTAAGAGTAGGCGCACACCGTTGATTTTTCGTCGGCCGATAGTTTAGTCGGGCTGTTTCAGTATGGGCATGTATGGGAGTGCGCACACTACGCCGATTCGATTTGGCCGATTCTTCATACAATTTAAAATCGGGCACAACTATCGGCCAACTAAAAATCAACGGTGTGCGCCTACTCTAAGCGAGCTGCTGAGCTGAGTAAGACGCCTAGTACTGATCATAAAGTCTTCCACCAAGCTGTGACCTCAGCAGTCACAATTCTCCACAGCTATCATTTTTGGGCTTGTCTTTATGACATTTAAAGTTTTCTTACGCCCGTATTCACAAACGATGCTTGCATAGGTGAAGCAGCAAATCGAATGCACAGCGTTGAATAGAGCTCTGTGATTGGTTCATGTGTTCACACTGTGAGTCCACGAACACTGTGAGACTTCATAGTAATGTTTGTGAATACGGGCGTAACGTGTCCAATAAATAAGGGTATTTTTGATAGCTCGCACTATAGACGCTCCATATACCTGGATAAGCACATGTAAGCTGGTAAATGGATAATTTTTCCAGCTTGTGTGTTCCCTTCTATTCGCAAATAGGTATAGTTGGTTATTTGCCGGCACGTTGTTTGGCGGGCCACCACGCGTGCGCGTGCGCCGCCACGCGGCCGGCGCTGATTTATTTGTTTGCATGGAAGCGCTGGAGTGCGCCTAGGGTTGCCAGGTCCAAAAACACAAAAGCCGGACTGTGTGCTTCATTTGTACTTTTACCCTAAAAACAGGACATGTAATTATAGTGTCATAGTCACGATACGAGTGAGTACTCAGTTGTCCAACATCCTGATTCCTGATGCGTGCGCTTCATATTATTCTGTGGTTTGACTTTCGCCTGGCGCGGCAACCAAAAAAAAAGCCGGACAGGCCAGACAAGACAATATTTGGCCGGACAAGACCGTAAAAGCCAAACATGTCCGGCTAAAGTCGGACACCTGGCAACCCTAAGTGCGCACGATATTTGGGAATGGACATAGCACAAGTGCGCAAATGTTACGTGATGCGTTCCATGTAGGTATCTAATACATTTAAACGTATCTGTTTGTGTATACAGTTTGATTTATTTTAGCTTGCCTTAATTAGTACTTCACATTTGTCTTAATTTTGATGGCACCATAACCATTATTTGCGGTTTGTGGGCAACGCAGGGCTTAGTCTAAGGATATGAAGTATCAAATTAATACTTAATTTACCCGACCAGTATTACTTCTAAAGTATCACGTTGTGTGAAAGTATTGCCCTTTATAAATAAACCAACACTCGTACATCTGCTCGAGACAAAATAAGGCTCAACAACATCTGCACATAGATATTTGCAGATGCATGCGACACCTGCTATTATAGGTGATTAAGAATAAATTAGTTGTATATTAACCCAAGACTCCTAAGGCTGAGTTGCACCACCTAACTTTGGCCGTAACTATAACGATAACCGGTGATTTTTGTATGGATTTTGACAGATTTTTGACGTTTCTTTTTATATTAAGATGGTGCAACCCAGCCTTAGTCCTAAGATCATAACTATAGTCGGAGAGAACGTTACTTCTGCACTCTTAGTAGACTGCTCGTGGTCAGTTCCTGACTTGCTTCACCTTCCTCAAGAGACATTCTTGAATCAACAGTATCCGCTTACGAACAAATCATATAAAGGCGCATTAATTCTACTCACTGGTTGAGTATTTTCATCGTCACATCCTGGCTATTAAACACGACAAGTGAGAATTCTCCCGTTTTCCTTTAGGCCATGCGCAAACGTTGACAGTTTAACACCTTTGTGTCTTTGGAAACAAGTTTTTTCAACGTCATCATTATTAGTGTCCAGCTCAATCCACTTCACGCACTAAGTTTAAAAATGTATTTATTGGAATTAGAAACACAAGCAACAAAAACAAACTCATGAAATGAACGAAGAACTACGTCTTATAAGGCCTATGATGCGCTGTAAGCTTTTATCGCACTATTTTGTCGATTTTACGCGATAAGCCCATTTAATTTGGCCTCTAAAATCGTCGATAAGATTTTATCACGGGGGCCCGACTGCCGCGTGTATTAATTTAATAGTCTGCGTGTGCGCAGCGCCTAATTAACCCAGTAGCGGCTGACTCGAGCCGCAATCATCATACATTGTCGTCGCGCTATGCAAATAGACATAAGTGCATAATCGTTATAACCGCCGTCATACACATTCGTGTCAGCTCTCGGTGCATCACGATCGGTGACATTGCACGAGAATGGACTCACTAGTCACTACCTCACTTCGCTGGCTTGAGAGGAATCTGTGCGTCACGTGTACAGTTGGATATTGATTCAAGGATATCTAGTCATGTCTGCAGCAGCAAATCATCTTTTTTTCCCAATTCACTACGATACAGTAGACTATTCGACAACAGCTCCATACTGTTAGAGCGCACGTTACTCGAAAGTCGACCGCTGGACTACTGTTGTGAACCCAGACTAAACACGCGAATAGAGAGGTTAATAGCAGTTACATCACAAATTACTAGTAATCTGTAACTGATTGATTCATTTCTTTTAAAGAGAAACGATTAT